TGTGTGCTGTTGGGGCTTCTGACGCTTCTGGCCTCAGGTCGACCGGGTGCCTCTTTACACACCTTCCTGCTCTTCCACACTGCCAGTCTGTGCCAGTCAGGTGGGCGGTTCTGGTGGCTTAGGTGGCTCTCATCTGGAACCTTTCCTCCAATGCTGAGAATAGTAGAAATTCTCTCAACTAGACAGGTGGGGGCTGCGGACTTTCTGGAACCCAGGGGTACTGTAATCATAATGGATTTGGGAGCCGTGGGGGTGGGTTGTGCTGGCAGAACATGTGTTTGTTTAAACAGGTTGCTTTTCGAGGAATCTGTATTTTCTTACGAGGACATTCTTTTGAGCATGCCTTTCTCACTTCGTACTCCTGATCCTTTTCGTGGCTGTCAGCTCTTTTCAGGATTGAAAACTTTCTGAAGATTGGATTAGTTCAGAATTTTTGTCCTGACATCATTGTATGTCACAGCCCTCTGTGTTTTCTAATAGATGCAAAATTAGGCTTTTTTTTTTTGGTCAGGTGTTTAGTCTGAGCCTGAAACGGAGCGGGCATTATTCGATTGTCGTAATCTCTCTAGGATGTCCTTCCTTCCATCTTGGCATACCAGACTTCCTCTGTCCTTCAAGACACATTATTGTAAATGCCCTTTTTGTTTTCCTCATGGAACTCGCTTTGACCTTCCCTGGCGTGGATGTGCATTGAACACAAGCTCAGGAATCGGTCAGACCTGGTTCTGTTTGTGACTTTGCAACTTGCTGTGTGGGTAATCTGGGCAATGCATTTAACTTTTGTCCTTGGGTATCAGCTTTTCATGTGAAAAGTAGAGTTGTTTTCCTCTTCGTCCTCACGCCATCCATCTCCACTTCTCCCAAAGAGATCATCAGTTTGATTTTTTGCTTTGTACAGAGTGAAGCAAAAGTGTATTTTAAATGCAGTTTTTAGCTTTATTATCTTCAAATTGTAAATGCAATAAGCTTACAAAAATATCATTTGAAATGCCATCTCAATTTGTTATGCCCTTAGGTAGTTTGACCATTTTGAAAAGCACATTTTGAATTTTAAGTTTTTTCCCCCAGATCCTCTGAGGATATCAGATTTTGAAACAAACTTGGGAGTTCAGACACTGTGCTTGTGAGCAGTCTCTTCTTGTCTCTGTTTCTTCGTGTGCACATTTGTAGTGTTTTACAGGTTATTACATAATATTTGTTTCTGTATAACATTTTAATACATATTGTTTGAATAAATGAATTGGTTTTTTTTTGGAGACAAACAAATTATATATGTCAAAACAGGAGAGGAGAAAGACATGTCTAAGCCTTAGTAGTGGATTTAGTTCGGGGTTAACTCACACACCACGCCCAGAAAAAGAAGTGGAAGAAGTGGGAGTATGGCCTGAAATGCTTTCATTTGTTCCAAGATCATCACTTTTTGCTAATGAGAAAGTGGCTTTCTAGGCTGTGTTAAATTTTGTGAAAGAGGCTTCCATGAAGTCAGTCCAGGTTCGAAATCATCCAACGGGACATTTCTTTTTTGGGCTATTCTAAGGACTTCTTTTCTGAATGGTTGCATGTTAAGCAACTCAAATTATTGCCAGCCAATTGGACACCCCTCAGTTGCTTTGAAAAATGTTCTGGGGGTCACACTTCCTCTCCACCAGTAGAGTTTTAATGGTGGTATAGGTGTGCCTGAGACTTGGGCATTTCCATAGGGGGTACAACTAGTTGCTCTGCCCCATTTCCAGTCTGAAGTTTAAATTGAGATTTGTTGCTGAGTTCTGCTAAAGGAATTTTTGAAATGCACTTGAACTGGTGAGGTGAAATAAAATTCAAACTCATTCCTTTGAAGATTTATCAGGCAGTTTTGTTGATGTTTCTTGCTTCATTTCACTTACCCATCACAGAAATAAAATTCCAGGCTAGGCAGCAGCCCAGGCCCTGGATCTGTGTGAGCATGTCAAAAGCATTTTAAGAAGAGCAAAATATTTAGAGGAAGAATTTGGAAAATCAGCCTTAAGGGATTTAACACATTTTTCTTCTCCTAATTCAGTCCCGTGTTTGTCCCCTAATGGAGAAAGGTCATTAATGGGTAAGATTTACTAGGTCGGGAAAGGCTTTCAGAAACTAAATGTGTTTCTAAAATCCAACTCTAAAGAAAACACTTGTTTGGAAACCCAAAAGAGTATATTTAGACTGTAAATTATGTCAGTTAACCAATTGACTTGATAATGGAGAGTTAAATGCCTTTGAGACTTGAAGTTCTGTGTAAATTTCCAGGAAGACAAAGAGATTGACTTAGATTTTGACATGTCCTGCTGCACCTTTGTCGGCACGTTTTCACCTGCCTGACACAGGGGCCTGGGTCAAGGTCATGACTGTGGTGCAGCGGGCAGTTCTATACTAGTAACCGTTCCAAATTTGTTACATTTTTAATCTCATAATCGAAAAGCCGCAGGCCAATTCCTGTACTTTTACTGAATTCCTGTCTGGCAGAAAATGAGAGGGTGTGTGTGTGTGTGTGTGTGTGTGTGTGTGTGTGTCTGAAACAAGGACATGGAAACTCAAGGCTTATTGAAATACGAACTCTTTTCTTTCCCTCTTGAATCATGCCAAGGAAATTAATACAAAAGAGTTTTTATGAATTTTGGAGTAGTTTCGAAATGTTTGGGTTTGATTATTTATCTTTTACAAGCCAATACTTTATTTTATATCGGTTACTTACATTTGTATTCAGACTTTGATTTGACCCGAAGATCAAATAGTACTAAAGAAACATTAGCTTATTAGTTTTTATAAACATCTCTGTATAGTGGGAATCTTTTTAAGACTTGATTTCATTCTATATGTGATAAAGTTGAAAGGTCTTATTTATCTCTTGATAAGGGGACAGGTACTTCATTCCATTCTGTACCTTTAGAGGACTCTATATATACAATTCTATTAGATAATTTAATATGTTTTTGAAGATAAGGCTAACTACCCAGCAAAGTGGTTAAGAAAAAAAATAAAATGTAATAACATTTCTCCCTTAGAATTTTCCCAATTTTTATGGTCAAACATTCTTAAGTTGTATGAATGTTATGAAGTTAACATAATTTAATACTTATGAGATATATATTTCTTCATGGCATTATGGGGTAATAGATATGGCAATATTTACAAATAAGATAGTAGGGCAAAGAATTGGATTTCCCGAGTATTAAGATGGTATTTTAATGTGGTGTTCGTGTTGGCGGAGCTGGTGGAGGGCTCCCTGCAGGTTAGTATGTCTGAGTGCCGTATATTCCGTGGACAATCTGAGCCCTGTCCCCCTTGGGTGTGATGTTCAAGGCTAGGACATTCAGAGTGTGTAAGCAAATCCTCTAAGTGAATAAATGCCTTAGTCGTGGCATTGATCAGATGGCAGAAAGCCTGAAATCGGGACTGATGCTGATGGCATTGTCCTTTCTGGAAGGAGGGCTCCTCTCAGCACATTTAACATCAAGCGATTTCTTAGAGAGCGGTTTTGTTTTGAATCCAGCTGTCCCCTCTGTGTCTGGGAGCCAGTCTCCAATTACCTTTCTGGATCTGGGGAAGTGCACTCTTTTCTGTAGCTGCTGCTGTGTTTATTCCAGGAATGACCTTTTAATTACAAGCTCTCCTTCCAGAAGAGAGTAAGGACCAAAGATACCACAGGCGCAGGAAGTGTCGTGGGTGAACTTCTAATTACGCTGCTAGGGATGAGTGAGGAGGTCTGGTGAGAGGCAGCCCTGTCTGACTGATGTGCGGAGGGCAGAGCACCCTTGGGCCTCCTCTGGTTATTTCGCTGTCACCATGCGGAGGGCAGCCTGGTGGTGTGGACGGTCGTGGACAAACAGTGTTATCTACCCAGGATCACAGCTTTCTGCACTGTCCCAAGTGCTCCTTAGGCAGCTTTCAGAGCTCCTTCGAGACTGTTAACAGGCTGCTTGTAGGACTTAACCAACAATGACTCTTGCTTGTTGTATTAGAGAGTTGGTGAGCAATTGAAGAGGATGTGATTAAAAGTAACAGAAAGGGTAAACTGGGTGCTTGTCGGACTTGTTCACACACATTCTGTAATAGCAACAATAGCAAGAATAACAAAGGACTGAATGCCAGCTCTTTGCCAGGTATTTTCCACTTACATTCACTAATCCTGGCAGTGCCCTTATGAGCTGGGTGCTGTTTATTGGCATTTCACAGATGGGAACTTGGAGGCTGGGAACCCTTATGACTTACTCAGGGCCACAGGCTAGTAGATTGGGGTGTGGTCTAAAGCCCTTTGATCTCTTTGTTATAACAGGCAGCTTCCTTATAGCCGAGTAGATAACTCTGCCCATCTTCAAGAAGTTCGGGTTGTTGTAGTTTTTTAAGGTCAATTTTCATTTGTTGTGCCCTCCAAAATGAATTTATAGTCATTTAAAAACTGGCTGATTTCTCTGCTTGTAAAATATCTCGATCATTTTTATGGAACAAGATCATTAAAACCTTGCCATGTCATTCTTACTACAGGAAAACAGGGTGTGGAATTGACAATAAAGTTTATGCTGTACTTGTACTAAGCCTTATACTCGTTTTTTCTGCAAGATATAGGACTCATATGAAAAGAAGGGAAATCATGAATTTTTTAGTTTTTATAGGTTATTGTTGATTTTTGTATGTAGCAGGTTGACATTTTTACCGGGCTGAAATTTTACTTAAACAAAACGCGTCTGTATTGCATGTAATAGTTTGAAAGCAATGTGATTTAATGGCTGGTGGCACTATACCAATGCCGAGGGTGGAGAGCCAGCCAGCTCCCTGGGGCCCCCTCTGCTACAGGCGCTGGCAGGCTCCGAAAGTGCTGGAGTCAGGAGCCCGTCACAGTCTTCACTGGTGTGGATGGTTGTGCCTCGTGAAGTCTGCTGATAGGACTATTTAAAACTCCCCTGGGTAGTGATGATCTTGTTTAGCAGCCTTTTAAAGGTGTAGTACCTCACACTTTTCCCTTCTCTCTCCTTTTCCTCCCGCAGATGAACACAATGACGTGCAGAAGAAAACCTTTACCAAATGGATAAATGCTCGCTTTTCAAAGGTAACCAGGACTTTCAAAAGCTTTCTGATGATGGTTCCAATGCTTCATTCTGACTGATGGAGTTTGGTTGGAAGTGCGGTGAATTTTCCCCGTGAAATATGATCTAATAAAAATGTACAGATACTTCTATTTTTCCTTTATTCTCTTTGAAAATAGGCTGACATGGAAATTCTGGTGTCCACCGTTCAGGGTATAAACAGCTCTTTATTTGTACCAGGTACTTGTTGGGTATCAAGCCAACAGTTTGCCGCTTATGACTCTGTGAATCCCGGGGACATTTAGGAAAGGAAAGTGTCACTGGGAAAAGTTTGTGTTGACTTAGCTAAAAAGATTGTTTTATTTGGCCTGGTTAAAATCAAATCGTGATCACCCAGGCAGCCATTCTAAGCTGTGCGGGAAAGGTTAGGGACTTCTGTGCTCAGGACTGTGGCTGAGGATGTTTATCCGCCATGTTCTTCCCGGTAAACTTCCTCGCTTCTCTCCCCAAAGACCTGTTCTTTCCCAGTGTTTCTTACCCCTGGGATTATATCAAGGTTTTGACGGATATTTTTCTTAGGAGCAGAGTAAGCTGAGGGGAGGAATTGGCAGTGCTCTTTTCAGACTTGCCCCAGTACAAGTACCCACTGGCTACTGAACGGCTTCCCTCGGGTGATCCAGGGGGTGCTGGAATTTTGTCTTTTAAATCTGAGATGGGAAGAAAACTTTGAGGTTAACGGCTTACACGATGACGAAAAAGAAATGTTTCTCAGAGAGACACCATGATATTTTAAATGGCATGAAAGGCATTTTAATGGAGCTATTTTTCAAAATTTTCTGCTTGAGAAGGTTGCAAAGGTCAGGAAAGTAAACATGGGTATTTCTTTGGAGCAGAAGGAGACTGTTTTAGGATGGCTTTCAGTAGCGGTGTAGTTTAAAAATTGCTCCACATCCCAGTATTTACAGTCGATTATTTGATTGCAGTGTATTTTTAGGTTTTGCAAGTTTTCGTTGAGGGACATTTAATTCTGCCTCTGAGAATGTAAGGAATGTGAAAACGTCTGATTTTGACAGGAAGGTCAAGAGTATAGACGTGCCTGCGTAATTGGTGGTTTTCTGTGTAGGATTATTCCAAAGCACACAGAGGTATTTGTTTTTTTTTGGTAAATTTTAATTTTGCTGTAGAGGCACAGGTAACATCTGGGTAATTTGGATTTCCAGAACAGATTATTTTATGAACTTGATATTTAACAGTCTACATTTATAATCTATATGTTATGTTGTAATATTAAATCAGGGCTTTCAGTCCCATATAAATTATTGCCAAGACAATGAAAAGACCAGGTAATGTTATCATTTTTAGTAAAAGTTACAGTTATGTAAACTGACACAGAAGCTAAAAGCCTGTTTTATTTGGAGAAACAGTATGAAAAGTAGAGTTGACCCTGGAGATGTTTCCTTTTAGATTACTTCTAGTAAGAAAGCGGGAGTAAAAAGGGGAATTTGGATGAGTCTAGAACACATTTATCAAAGAAATTATGACTATTTGGATATAATGATGTGGAGGACTCATGGTGGTAACACTAAACTTTTATCTATATGTATATCTATCTATATCTGTACATCTTATCTATATCTATGTCTGTATCATCTATATCTAATCTATACCTATTTTATCTACATCTATATTCATATCATCTATAGCTACATCTCTCTGTCTCTGTCTCTGCCTCTATCTTATTGTTTTATCCTGGCTTTCTTAAGTCTGTAAGTCAGACTTCTTCCGCACTGGCAATCAAGAAAGGTCAGCCTGGGAGATTTCCAGAGACTCCTTACACAGCGTAACTGCTGCTGAGATGGTGTGACTTGTACTTGAGCATGCTGTCACTGGCTAATCGAGAGGCTAGCCCCAGGGGACAGAATCCTGCTGAAGGGTGTGCATTCATTGTATGTTATTCCTATTTTATCCATGTCCTTGGTATATCACAGTGGACTTTAAAATAGAATTATTAATCGGGTCTGCCGCTTTCCTGTGGTGTGAGTCCCTCTAGAAAAATAGAGCCCCTTATGGTAAGAAATCCAAGAGACTCTGACGACCTCTTCTGCCATTTAGGAATTTGCTTTAAATTCCCTCCTCGGACGTTTCAACTTCAGGGTCCCCTCCCCAGCCAAAGCCTTCAACACCAAGTCTTGTTAATTCCAGTGCCATTTGACATTGTCCCTTTCTCTCCATCTTTACTGACACCTTCTTTTGCCAAGTCACTATTAGCTGAATTAGGGAAAGTTGTGAAAGGCTTTACGAAAAGCAAAAAGATCAGTGGGAGCCCTGCCAGCTCATCCGACTGGGTTATCTGCCTTCCGTTATCTTTGAGCTAGTCACAGCAGATAATAATGCAAATGATACTTATTTAAAAAAGCGTGAAGTAGCTGGGAATGTAATTGATTATTGCCCCTTGAATAGACCTGATTTTCCATCTATTGCACATTTATTTCAGCTTTCCTTTGTATAAACATATGGCTTTTTGAATTCTCCTTGGGACCAGTTTTAACACCTTCCTGGTTCCCTCATTAATTAATGAGTTGAAGTCATTGAAACATGTTAATATTACATTTGTGTGAGACCCACAACTTCACCTTAAGAAAATCATTCCCCAACACATGGACCTCGTAATAATTTGTCATCTGGTCCTTCTTTCCATGCTTCCCCTTATCTATCCTCTCCCTTCCACTTTCTACAGAGGAGCTGGAGTGATCCTAAAGTATAAGCCTAAATACCTGTTTCTTTCCAGTAAAATCTTTCAATGGTTGTCCATTGTTATTACTTGGCTTTTTAGGCCCTAAATAGCAACCCCTCCAATTTACTCCTAATTTCCTTTTACTTTACTCTTGCCTCCCTAATTATGCTCTAGCCACATAGGCTGTGCCTCTTACCGTCCTGGTCTTCCCACGGTGTTTACACAAACACCTCCCTCCATCACTTCCTGGCCAACTAACTGCCGCTCTTCCTTGCTGGAGCTTAAATGCCACGTACTCATGAACATGGTTTTCTGAACTCCCAGAGTAGGGTAGGTATGCTCTTTACCTTGAAGTATCATCCTTTGAAGCACTTATCATAATTGTCATTTAGATAATTGTACCTGGAAGTATTTGTCTCTCCTGTCCTGGGTGGTGGTGCATTCCATGGGTGTAGGGTTGTTTATTTTGTTCTTCATTGTAGTCACTCCGGCATTTAGCCAGCACCCAGTGGGTATTTGCAGACTTGATAAATGAATGAATGGCAATGACTGAGACATACATTTAAATGCCTAATACTGTATATCCATAAGCCAATTAGAGGTGGTTGATTGGAAAGAGATAGGAGTGTGGAAATGAGAGCACAATGGCATAAAAACTGATATTTCATGGATGTGAATTTCATCAGGGCTTTTGCTGCTCTTATTCACAAAACCAAACAAATCCAGCCTCACGAAGTTTTCATACTTCCTTGGTTTCCTGGAGTTGTGCTGCAAAGATTATTAAATCACCCCTGGCTGGTGTAGCTCAGTGGATTGAGCGTGGGCTGTGAACCAAAGTGTCGCAGGTTCGATTCCCAGTCAGGGTACATGCCTGGGATGCAGGCCATGACCCCCAGCAACTGCACATTGATGTTTCTCTCTCTCTCTCTTTCTCCCTCCCATCCCTCTCTAAAAATAAATAAATGAAATCTTTTAAAAAATCAAATTTATAAAAAAAAGATTATTAAATCACCACTTGGATTTAATATATGTACTAAACCCTTGTTTACCGGGTAGGATTCTTTAAATAGGATCCACCTATAAATTCACAGTGAAGAAAATGGCATTTAAAATATCAAATGGGCTTAATTTATTCCTTGGTAAGAGATTTGGGATAGAGCTTGAGAATACTGAATAATGTGCATCTAAAACCATATTTTTAATTTTAAATATATATACCTATATATATGATAGTATTTACTATAACTACATATTCTTTTTGCTGTAAGTCCTTGTTAATATGCCATAGAGTGAACAATGCTTTGGAGTTTGGGTATCTTGAAAAGTCACAGAGTATAGGAAAACTTGCGGTTGTTGGATTTTAAAAAGTTATGTAAAAACTCAGAAGGAAATGATTATTTAAAGGAGCTAAGAGTTAGGAAATTAAACACTTCTCCCTGGATATGCTGCTCATTTATTTGTGACCTCTGGCAAATTATTAGCCAATTTTTTCAGGTCACTTAGTTTTTATTCCTCTAACTATGAGACACAGTTGGTCATAATTACTTGCCTCGTATTGCTAAGAAATAGAGAGGCATTATTGTAAAACATTATGGAGGATTATAATTACTTAGGAATGCTAAATTAAAATCCTATCAAGTACTCCCAACTTGTGTTACCCCTGGCCTATGCTATACGTATATTTTAAAAGAGAAATGGAAATGAAAAGCATTGGCTCAGTAAGCCCACTTTATTTCCTTGTCTGGTGGGTAAAGGGTGAGTGTTTTGTTCCCTTTAATTTCAGGAGCCTTCGGTTTGTTCAGGGGCTGGTCTCCTGGGGGAGGCAGCGAAGGTCTCTTGCTTCACTGTTGGGAAATGTGCTCTGACTTTAAGCCTGCATTTTCCTTGGCTGACTTTGAGAGCTTCTCATCTGGCAGAGCTGAGACATGCAAATGGCTGAAGCTCTTTTATCAGTTTGGCGAGGTGATTCTCAAAAAAAGGTTTAACATGTGAAGGTCAGGTAGAGAATATGCCAAGACAGAAATGCTGAACTTCCGTGTGGGCAGCTTTCTGCTTTTCCCCTTTCAGAGATGAGGGCGAGCCAAGTTTTCATATAGTGACTCTTCCAAACTTGGAAATTAAATTGATTGCACATAAAAGGAGAAATCTGGAGCATTTTTTAATAGGTTTCAATGTGAAGAGCTATTCAGATGTGTTGTTCCTTTTTGGAGACAGTGGGACTTGCTTTAAAAAAACTTTTTAAAAATTTTTTATTTTTATTTATTTTTAGAGAGGAAAGGGGGGAGAGAG